TTATATATATATATATATATATATATATATATATATATATATATATATATATATATATATATATATATATATATATGACGGGAGCGGCTGGTACTGCCATTTTTTTTTCGCTATAATATCAGTCCTTTGTTTTTCTTTTGGATTTTAGAAAAAAAAGAAATTGTGTAAAGTTTAGTCTAAGAAAATATTTTTGTGAAATGTAAAATTACATTCATGAAACCATTCCCTCATAATTTCAACCATATCTTTCATTGACCCTTATTTGATGCTTATCTATATTGAATTGATTCATTCGATTTTCCATAATTTTAAAACTATTCATTGTCCTTCTCAATTGTTACCATACGATTTATTCCAATTTATCGAAAACTTCGTCAAATGTACATTTTGATGATATGCCTTAGCATTATTGAGTAACAACAGTTATCATTTTTTGCCGTATTGGTACCAAAGTTAAGATTATAAAATTTTAATTTGTAATCTATCACATATTCTTCCTAAAAAAATGTATGCTACTAGTTTAGAAACTTTCATCAACAATTTTTCAAAAAAAAAAAGAAATTGTTTTTGAAGCAAAAATATTACTGAAAAAATTTTTGATCCATTTAATTTTAAACATCAATTAATTGAATAGTAATTAGAAAATATAGAAGACAGTGAGAAGAGAGGGAGGAGGGAAAGGGAAAAAATTTAGCAAGCAAAAAAATTCAAAATTAATTTTAATATTTCGAAAAATTAATCAAACACATACATCTTTCTTTCTTTCTTTTTCTGGTTTCTAATGAATTTTGAGGATTTTTCTTTCCTTTTCCTTTAATTAAAGTTTATTTTATTGACAAAAACGCTTTCATTGCTTTGCATTGTATTAATAAATTATTGTTCATTCTGAATAATAAAAGAAAAAAAAAGTTTTAACAAATAATAGAAATGAATCCAAACAGTATAATAAGCATAAAAACAATATCATAAATATATAATGACATACATATATGGCACACACATATATTTATCCAAAGAATGAGAATTGGATTATACTTAATTACTTGAAATGAGTTAGGGAAAAGAGTGAAAAAAGGAGGGTGATAACTGTACAAATGAAGCAATAAAATTAATTCAATTACCATTGTTAGTTCTTTTAATTTTTATGCAAATATACATTTGATACTGATTGAATGAATCATTGTAAGCTTTTTAAAATATATTTAATAATAATGTTTAAATAATGTATTTTGATCTTTTCTATTATAAATCAATGATTGATATTAAAGAAATAAAATAAAAAGAAGGAATAAAAAAAGAGAAAGAATATGAATGAAATGTGTATTTTAAATAGTAAGGATTTTATTCCAAATAACAAGGACTTTTTCATTAGTAATTTATTTTCGAAATTATGATTATATTATTTATTAAACTATTTTTTAAAAAAATGGGCAATTATTTAAATGAACGGAAAAGGAACGAAATGATAGGCATTAAATTCATTTGAAATGAATGTGGAAAAAAAGCCAAGATGAAAATTGCTAAATTAATCTTAATTACCACATTTTTCTCTACTTAACTAACATAACAGTAATAAGGTCAATGGATATGAGCAGTCTGAATACATATGGATAATTCAAAAATTATTTCAAGATTTTTCTCTTATCTGAACCACTTAACATAAAACTTGAGCTATCACAGGTTCTCAAATTTTATCATAAAATTGATTTAATCCAGTAATTCCGGTAATTCTTTTCTCTTTTAATCACATATTCAAGGTATTTATGGTAGATTTTTTCTTTTTTTTTTTTATTAACTATACTAATAGAATAATCAAAATTGACAATGAGGTAATTAAAGTTATTTTCTTTTTCTTAAATAAAATTAAACCAAGAAATTTTGAAATTTTATATTTTCAAATCCTTTAAATGACAAATTATGGATTTAATTTATAGGATAATGTTGGAAATTTCTTCTTTGATCCATCAGATCCTGATAACAAGTATACAATGATACAGTTTGCTGTACTCTATTTTCGACGACCCAAGGGTGTATCTCCTGGTATTATCAATAACATAAATTTCAATTCGAACAGTACCCAACGGAAAAGTAAGTAATGATTAATTATATCAATAGTACTGATAAAAACATTATTATATATAACAGATTTTAATTTTTGACAAATAATAATGTACAAATCATAATGTAAACAAAATATTTGCTGCTTAATAATTTATTTTACAGCATTGTTAAATTTAAAAACTTAAAGGAAAGAAATGGACATGGAAGGAAGTTGCTGAAAAAGTAAAACATACAAATAAACCAATTAATCATTCACTTCTACGATTGGACAATAACGAAGCGGACAAATTAGCACAGGAAGCATTTATGTGTTAGCATAATTTAATGCATTATTTGCATTTTTTTTCTCGCTATTGTGAGCTAAAATTATTTTTAAGACCGAAATTATTATCAGTTAAATGGATTGATTAATTCTGTAAAGTTATATTTAGTAGATAAAATTGTTGTGATGGTTTTTTATCAAAAAAGAGAAATCAAAAGTAAAATTTCGTCGAAAAAAAGAAAACAAAGAAAAAAAGATAAGATTGTTGTAACAGCTCTGACAAAAAAAACAAAAAAGAAAGGAAATTAAGGTATTATATTTAGTAGAAGTTGTAATGTAGAAAAAATTAAAATATTTCAGCAGTTTCAATTGGTTATAATTATTTAAAAGAGGAAAAGAAGATAAGCTATATTTGTTGATTTCTTGACAGTTTACTTTTTTCTTTTTTGCATCCATAAAATGATGGATTGTGTTTAGAGGATAAATTACAGTAAATTGCAATTGAAATATATTTGTGTAGTAGAACTAGGCAGAAATAAAAGTGAACCTAATTTCTCTTTGTTTTATTTTTTTACTTTTTACATTTAGGCATTATGCGTTATATGGGTGATGAAAATCTGAAACGTGGCCAAACTCTTACTGATTGTATTTATGAGCTTTTAATGATATGTCATCAATATCAACCGCTTCGGGATGAAGTATATTGTCAAATTATTCGGCAAACAACAAATAATAAAACTTCCAAGTACGAATGTTTTTTTTTTTTCGATACAATAAATATTATTTAATAATTTAAGGAATGTTAATAGTTAAAATTTATATTTATAATATCTCTTATTTGTTTGCATATTTTTTATAATTGTTTATTCTGCTTATTCATTTATTCAGTAATGCAATAATATGCTTTTTACATTACTCATTTTTATTCTTTTTTCTTTTTACCTTTCTACGTTTACCCACCATTTCAATAATAAAATTATCATAGAGCAAGCACCTCAATCCGTGGTTGGCGCCTATTTTCCATTTTAACGGCATATTTTGATTGTTCACCAGTATTGAAACCATATTTGTTCAAATATCTGACCGATATGGCAAATGATCCAAGAAGACCTTATCACGGTGTGTATATTTTTTTAAACCAAACCTTATCGCGGTGTGTATAACCAAACCTTATCACGGTGTGTATAATCAAACCTTATCACGG